GACACGAAAACAAGCATTTCGCCTGAGACATCCTCTGAATTCTGGCCCCCCGCTCGAGACATCTCCAAATTTTGCGGAAACCAGCGTTTCGCTCGAGACATCCTCCACAAACTATGTAAAATAAGCGTTTCGCTCGAGACATCCTGCCAAAGTTCTAAGAAATCCTGACAAAACAAGCGAATTAGTCGAGACATCCTCGAAATTCCTGCGCGCGGGACGCGGCACGCGCGAGACATCCTCGGAATTCCTGCGCGCAAATTATGAAAAACAAGCGTTTCGCTCGAGACATCCGGTCAAAATTCTAAGAAATCCTGACAAAACAAACGAATTAGTCGAGACATCCTCGAAATTCCTGCGCGCGGGACGCGGCCCGCGCGAGACATCCTTGGAATTCCCGCGAGCGGGACACGAAAACAAGCATTTCGCCTGAGACATCCTCTGAATTCTGGCCCCCCGCTCGAGACATCTCCAAATTTTGCGAAAACCAGCGTTTCGCTCGAGACATCCTCCACAAACTATGTAAAATAAGCGTTTCGCTCGAGACATCCTGCCCAAGTTCTAAGAAATCCTGACAAAACAAGCGAATTAGTCGAGACATCCTCGAAATTCCTGCGCGCGGGACGCGGCACGCGCGAGACATCCTCGGAATTCCTGCGCGCGGGGCGCTTTTCCGAGTCGCGGTCGGGGCTCCAGACCCCGTTATTTTTCGAGGATTCTGCGAAAAACGCTCCGCACCCTCTTTTTTACGAGGGAAAGCGGGGGTCTGCGGACCCCGTTATTTATCGAGGATCCGAGATGGGGGGCGAACTTTCCTCGAGCGGGCACGCACAAAACGCACTTTTTCTAAAAAAATCAGCACTTTACCTCGTTATTTATCGCAAATAATTTCGCCGGCGCTTGACCCGTCAGATCCGGGGGTAAACGGCTAAAAGAGAACCCTGGGCCCAAGCCCTTTCCGGGAATAAAAGAGAACCCTGGGCCCAAGCCCTTTCCGGGAAAAACAAGCGTTTCGCTCGAGACATCCGGTCAAAATTCTAAGAAATCCTGACAAAACAAACGAATTAGTCGAGACATCCTCGAAATTCCTGCGCGCGGGACGCGGCCCGCGCGAGACATCCTTGGAATTCCCGCGAGCGGGACACGAAACTGAATTCTGGCCCCCCGCTCGAGACATCTCCAAATTTTGCGAAAACCAGCGTTTCGCTCGAGACATCCTCCACAAACTATGTAAAATAAGCGTTTCGCTCGAGACATCCTGCCAAAGTTCTAGAAATCCTGACAAAACAAGCGAATTAGTCGAGACATCCTCGAAATTCCTGCGCGCGGGACGCGGCACGCGCGAGACATCCTCGGAATTCCTGCGCGCGGGGCGCTTTTCCGAGTCGCGGTCGGGGCTCCAGACCCCGTTATTTTTCGAGGATTCTGCGAAAAACGCTCCGCACCCTCTTTTTTACGAGGGAAAGCGGGGGTCTGCGGACCCCGTTATTTATCGAGGATCCGAGATGGGGGGCGAACTTTCCTCGAGCGGGCACGCACAAAACGCACTTTTTCTAAAAACATGATCGACCCACGAACCCGGAAAGGAATATAGAAATGTAAGGCATGGCGACGTTTCAAAGACACCTGAGTGGGCGACGGGCAAATGCAATGCTGAATGTATCGATCTTGATGTACTGTGCCGAGGGCTGTGCTGTGCTACCCCGTGCTGAACTGCGATGTGCCATGCCGCGAGTGTGCTCTATATAGCGTTGTGGATCAAGTCCTCCCTGACATCCGAGTCCTGACCGAACTGATCTGGATCTTAAGCTCGAGCTGCCTGAGCAGATGGTAGCTGCCCCAGAACTAACCACCAGAGGGGACATGCCAGGAGGACGCGCCGTGGAACGTCCCAAGGGACGCGCCAGGCGACCTGCCAGGGGACGTGCCATGGGCACGCACCGCAGGACGTGCCAAGGGGACGCGCTACGGAACGTGCCAAGGACGTGCCGCGGGACGTGCCAGGGGACGCGCCGCGCGAAGTGCCAGGTGGACTCACCACGGAACGCACCAAGGAACGTGCCAAGGTGCAATGTTGAGTGTATCGTTCTTGATGGACAATGCCGACGGCTGTGCTGTGCTGGGCCGTGCTGAACTGCGATGTGCCATGCCGCGACCGTGCTCTAGATATAGCGTTGTGGATCGAGTCCTCTTTGCGTCCGAGTCCTGACCGAACTGATCTGGATCTTAAGCTCGAGATGCCTGAGCAGATGGTAGCTGTCCAAGAACTAATCGACAGGGGGACATGCCAGGAGGACGCGCCGCGGAACGTCCCAAGGGATGCACCAGGCGACGTGCCAGGGGACGTGCCAAGAGCACGCACCGCAGGACGTCCCAAGGGGACGCGCTACGGAACGTGCCAATGGACGTGCACCGCGCGATGTGCCGCTCCGCGGAACGTGCCAAGCAACATGCCAGGCTGCAATGCTATGGGTATCGATATGAATGTACCGTGCCGAGGGCTGTGCTGTGCCTGGGCAACCTGGACACGTGAAAACACGCGTTTCGCTCAAGACGTTCTCCGCACATCCTCATGCTAGACATCCGCCTGGGCAACCTGGACACGTGCAAACAAGCGTTTCGATCGAGACTTCCTCGACACATCCTCATGCTAGACGTCCGCCTGGGCGACCTGGAAACGTGAAACCAAGCCTCTGGTTCGAGACATCCTCAACAAAGCCTCATGCTAGACATCTGTCTGGGCAACCTGGAGGCGTGAAACCAAGCGTCTCGCTCGAAACATCCTCAAGACCTGGGCACGTGAAAACAAGCATTTCACTTGAGAGATCCTCAGAATTCGGGTCCCCAGGAGAGCACAATCTATAACACAAAACAAGCGTTTCGCTCGAGACATCCTCAACAAATCCTGAAAACCAAGCGTTTCGCTAGGGACATCCTCAATTTTTAATTCGCCGGCCCTCTTCCCACTCGTTATTTATCGCAAAAGAAATTCGCCGGCCCTCTAC